ATCTAATAATCTCTCCCAAAGTCTTGTTGCGGCATAAATCCTCTAATTCGCTAAAACAAAGCAAAGTCGCAACAATATAGTATGCATATAACGTATAACATATATAACTTGATTAATTTAATTGGGTGGACTGCAGTGTTGTCAAATCCAGCAATTAATTAGTCGGGACACATGTCCTGACCAATTAAATTGCTGGATTTGTGTCCAAACAATAACATTGGATGGACTTATTTGAAGAATTATAATTCAGGATTTGATAAAGCTAACGATTTTATGGATTAAGTCCAGGACGGTCTCTTTCGGTCCTGGGATCGGACTGGACATATTATTTAACATCACTACTGTCAACCCGTTATCATTTGTATATATTTCGATATACCCGATGAACTGTCATATAAAAACACATTAAATTCACAAGATTACGTTTATAACAATACGATGATTTTTAGTCCATATTATCTAGCTCCTGTTTACCAGTTGCATATATCATCCCACTTGTATTATGTGACACTGTCTTTAGATTTATTCAAATTCTTTTGTTGCATTCTTCTACACTAACATTCTAATCTACAACAATAACTTGGTTTTTATGTTGATACAAAATGCATTTCTGATGCCAAAAACCATCATCAACTATGTAATATTACACTCGATATTGTGCCTGGGAAACATACCAAAAAGTTTGCTCAGTTATTCGTTCATTAAATCAAGCTAAATCACATTAAAACTATATAGTCAATGTGTATTGGATCTTTATCACTAGAAAGCAAGATTAATTAGACGTCGTTAACTTGTTAGCCCTGACTGTATTCAATATAATAGTCATATTTCTTTAATTCTATTGATCAGATTTATATACTGAACTGTTTGGTATACAGAGAGAATCATATAATGAATCAAATATCCCAGAACAAGCAGTTTTTTGTAACCAGAGTCGACCGCATCTCGCATGCAACATATATAAAGCCCTATAAAAATCGAGATTTTTACCGAGAAATTTTAAAGTTTTTATTCTGGAAAATTCTGGCATCTTTATCAAATTCCTGGAACAATTCTGGAATCATTAATTCAGAAAATTTCTTTTGGATATTTTAAAGAGTATTTATTCACTTTTTCTTATTAATTGATGTATTTAGTATTTAACTTTTTTGTACAATATTTTTTATAAAATAAACTTTGGGAATTGAGCTTCCTATATACAGTAAAACCTCGATATAACGAAACCTAGATATAGCAAAATCCTTGATATAACGAAAGAAAAAAAGACTTTTTGTTTTAAAATTACCTCTACATAGCGAAGTTCATAAGGAAACTCGATATAACGAAAAAGAATTCCAGCTCGAGAGATTTGTTATATCGAGTTATGACTGTACAATAGGATGTATGTTTTACTGCAATACTATTTTACAATTTTATTTTATTATAAATACCCAAACAGTCAGTTTCATATAAATATATTGTGATTTTTCTATAATTTATATATTCCGTTACAAATATAAAAGTTGAAATAAGAATTAGGATTTTAAAATCAGAAATATTTAACATTGTTACATGATATCACGAGAACCAGTATTCCGATTCAAACCATTTGATATGTAATTTGTTCGAATTAAATCACTGGTTCGCGAGATTTCATGTAAAACGTTAATTTATTAGGAATGAACCGGAATATCTCGGTCTAATTCAACAATTATCATCATTCGATTCAGCATATCAAGACAAACTAAACGGTAGTAATTTTGTTTAAATCGGATTACTGATTATCAAGATATCACGTAAAATTGTTAAATTTTATCTTTTTTATATTCCGGATTTCTTCTGATTTCAAAATCGGAAGAAAACTATACTCGCACAGCGACCAAAAGTGTTTATTGTGTTTACATACTTATTATTTGTTTTTTATCATACCACAATTGTAATGATTATTAGTTGATTATAATATTCAATTATATATTTTATGTTTTTTAAAATGAATGAAAAAAGTTCTATCTAAGTTCAAATTTAGTTTTAGAAAATCCAAATACAATGTAAGTTTTTAGCGACAGATTCTCAAGTTCTAAAATACGTGTATAAACAACACACCTGTAAAATGAAATTTAGCCAATTTTATTTTGGAAAAACCAATTATATTTCTGCAAAATAAACAAGATTCACAGTACAATTTCATTAAAGTTTTTGAGGTTAAATTTAGATTTCTATAAGGGTGTTGCTTATAACGGCAAACTATGATATATTTAACCTTAAACTTATTAATTTAGTAACAAATTTTAATGAAATTGTACTGTAAATCTTGTTTGTTCATTTTGCAGCAAAATAATTAGGTTTTTAAAATTTTTACAGGGGGTTACCTATACACAGCAAAATACGATACTGTTTTTTATGTTTAAAAAAACTAGTTCAAAGATCATAAAATGAACAATAAACTTCCTAGTTGAATGTCTCAGAAGGATCAAATAAACGGGAAAAGTTTTTATTATAATAAGATAATACCAGAAATAGTTGCCAGTAAAAAATAACTCGCTTCTGGCTTAATTGATTGAGAAACCGTTTTAATTTTTTAGGTTTCTCCTGTATTGATAGTTTTCATTGCCGTTAAACAAATTAATAAAGACTATCGCTATGATTTCTTTGTTTTTGCATGTAGCCGGTTTAGCTTTATTAAGCGATAGCATGTGCAATTACACATCAAGCTAAAGTTTGGCGTTTATTAAAAAACTGAATTTAACGTTAATAATTTATTTCTTTTTGTTTCTCTAAATATTATAAAAAAAGCTCCAAGTGAAAAACTTGAGCGTATATATATTTATATAGAATAAATTTACAAGGTTTATAAAAGATTTAAATAAAAAAAAACTTGACATATGTAGTAATAATCAGAGCTTTATCAATATTTGACGCTACTTATGCCAAAATTCATAATGTCAAATCATCGTCAAATTGTCGAGTAATATATGCGTCTAAAATAAAAGTGATGCTCGAGTTTTCATTAAAACTGTATAAATTACAAATAATAAATCCAAAAAGTGAATAAACAAATACCATTAGGCTCTTTTTTGGGATTATTTAAAGAAGTGATATCAACTCCTAAAACAATATTCGGTATTTATTAGTTTTCATAAAGAAACAAAGATTAAAAAATTCATAATACGTAAAGATACCTGCTTTTTCAATTATTTTTGAGATTGATCGGCTTTTGAATACTGCACCTTTATGAATTTCAGTTTTCTTTTTCTTTTTTGATTTCATACTCTTTTTACTTCTTTTAAATTCATATTTTTTCCAAACCGTACTATCCCAGCTATCGAATGTCGTTACAAGTTCTTCTGCGGTCGGTCGCTTCATTGGATCAGGATTCCAGCATTGAACAATTACCTCTCGATACCAGTCTGGCATATATTCTGAAAGAGGTGGGCGAAATCCATCACAAATATCGAAGATAAGTCTAATATCGTGATCACGATCGCTAAAAGGACGTTCGCCATTCCACATTTCCCATATAATCATCCCTAGGGAATATATATCACTGGCTGTAGTGTATCTTTGCTTTCGTAAAACTTCTGGCGCAACATATGAAATTATACCATAAACTTCTTCATCACCTGTGATCATTGATATTTCTTTGCACCGTCCAAAATCGGTTATATTTAAAAAAACTGGAGAATCCTTTTCACATAAAATATTACCACTATGCAAATCACGATGAACGAATTTTTTATAATGCAGCGATTTCAATCCTTTAGCTAAAGATCTCAAGCATTCCATGTCAAAGTACTCGGTGTTGCTTATATTATGTAAAGCAACATCATAAAATTCTAAGACTAGAATATAGTTCTTTGTTTTAGGGTCTCTTGAGATCCCATAAGTACGACATAGACTAGCATAATCTCTATTTATGATTGTTGAATCTATCTATAGTTTAAAATATTAATTATAACATGCAAATTAGAACTTAATAATCAAACTTGAAAAGCTTACTTCTTGAATAATCTCAGGGTTAGCCTTATTTGATTCGAATAACGTTTTCAGTGCAACAATAGTCGCTTCTTCTCGAATAAATTTTCTTGCTTTTTGATCATAACTACATACACGTCCTGAATTCCAGATTGCACTCGATACACTGCCAAATCCTCCTTCAGCTATAAACTTAATTTCACTAAATTCGTCATAAGGAATCCACTCAAACCAGGTATCAGTGCCAAAAATAAAAGCGTCGAGTTGTACTTGTTTTATTTTATCATCGATTATATCATCTCCAGTGGTCCATGAAGGTAGCTCACAGTTAAGGCAAATTTCCATCTTGTCATTCCATATTTTTTGACATTTTGAACAATTTCTCTCGATTTCTTCCTCGATTTCGTCCTCGATTGCCTTCTTGCTTTCTTCCTCCATTTCAGATATAATTAATGGAGAATTTATATAAAAGTATAGCGGTCGGAAAATAAATGAATTCGTTATATATTTAGATAAAATTGTTATTTCAACATCCACAAGCAGTGTAGGCTTTATTTAAAAATAGCTATCATTGTGAAATAAGTTTTTAATGCAAGCTATTTGCGAGCGTACAATCATAATACATAACGATAAAAGGAAAAAACTGCAACAATTACGTAATTTTTAACTAATGCTAACGTTAACGCGCACTTAACTCGAATATCGTCGGGATTATAAAGGTAACTGAAAAAATTGATTTTGTGATTATATGGGAGGTGAATATCGCTATATGGAGGTTCGTCTGTATTGGTATCCTTTCTTCTGTGTCAATAGAGATTTTTATGCAATTCGGCATATTAACTTTCTGAGGTTTTTGCTTGCTGAAGTTCCTCTAATTTACCTGCGAGACCAATATTGTTAAAATATCTCTCCAAAAATACTCCTTTCAAAGTTGATCATGTAATAAATTTTAGAAGTAGTTCTTTATATAGCAATAGCGATACGTAGTTGGACATTTATCGATAACGATAACTATACATATGATAACAACCTTTTTTCAAAAAATGGATTATATGTACATGTAGTAAAAATACAAATATAGTAATACAACCGTATAACGATACATGCTATACAGTAAAGTACCCTAGCCATGGCAAAAAAATGGCCGGTTCACGTGCTGGTTGCACGAACCAATAAAAATTCGTAAATTTTTAATCAACTCGGCAAAAATGTAAAAATACGGGAAACAGATGCCTAAATCGAGCTTGGTATACTAAAAAAAGAGTCGGAAAGGCAATTTTACATATAATCTTCCAGCTCTAGCCCTAATCCTAACCTTTAAATTAACCTTCAACAATAACCTCTATTATCGTAGAATTTTTCCAGACATACACAAATATCACGTGAATAGACCTTTTTTTGCCATGGCTAGGGTACTAAATTGCCTAACGGCGATCAACCATGTGATAGTTCCGAAGACTACAAATATTACTTTATTATATTGCCCGTTTGGTTGTAACAGGAATTGTTGCAATTTGCTGGTACTTATATATTCGTTAGTTTGCCGAATTAGATTCGAGACAAAACAACACCCCAACTACGCATAATGCTAACGCACCATCACATATTTCGGAAGATAGCCCTTTTGACAAGCTGATATTATATAAACTTGTCGACGATAGATAGAAAATTTATTAATTGGGTTATATTAAACCTTTTGCCGTAAAGCATTGCTTACGAAACTCTACAGATTTCTAGCAGGTCTACAGGCAAGCTTCTCCCCTATCGCTCCCTAAACAAATTATTTTATTAGATCCTTTATGTTCGTGGTGGCGAGATTATTATGATATTACTAGACTTGAAATTTGTTCTCGAGATTATAATGAATTTGGGGTGAAAGAGTTTCAGAGGTACGCCACGCGTGTTTATTGAGTATAACAATTTATAAAATTTTTTACACAGAAAATCAAAATGATTTTGCTGATTGGGTTCCTTCAGCCCACGCCCTTCGAGTTGCTATCAAAGAAGACAAAGGAAGCAAAGACACTTCTGCCCCCAGTTGTTGTGATCATTAGGTTTTTCTACTCAATTGATAATTTCGTTGCAAGCTGTTTCGTTTGAATTTGCAGTTAAAAAGCCTGCGACAAAGAAAACGAAAAAACTTCTGTTAAGACTCCGAAAAATAAACAAGAGGATGAGGTTGAAGTATATTCTACTATGAATATCTAAGAAGCTAAAAGAAAACGCAGCACCAATAATTCTTCAAGTTGCAAAAAAATCAAGATGGTAAGTGAGAATGAAATTTTTACCACCTACATATAATATGTTTGATTTATCCTTTTAGCCTTACTAATTAAACCCTTGTCTTTTTAATATTCACAGATACGGGGAATCTCCGGTTTATTGGTGTGAATTATGATAAAAGATGATTTTACGATCCTCACATACGGTTAATTCTTCTAATAATGCAGTGGCGTATGTTGTGAGGGATTGTAGCGGCAGTTCTTTATTTATAGCTATTCGTAGTTATGATATTCATTATTCGACATTGTTCAAAAAAGACAATTACGAAAGATTACATATTACAAGATAATTACGAAAATTTACATTTGTCGCAAGATAATTACGAAAAATCATATATCGCAAGACAACCGCGTAAATTACAAGAAAAATGTAAAAATTATATCTTGGAGGACAATCGCGCGAGCTGTCTATTTACACGGTGCAAGTAAATAATTTATATGCCAATTTTTATTTTTACGTTAATCAATTACTTTAAATTTATGATATTTGATATACCATCGGTCCTATCGGTCTCAGCGGTCCACTCAAGACCGGTCCAAAAGACCAGTCCGGACCAAGTCTTTATCAGACTACAAGTATAACGATAACATCCCTTTCTTTCCAAATTGATTTGTAACTTTGAAATGTTAACGTCAAGAGATAACGATAATGATTTACACGTTACATGTGTGCGTTACGGTCAGTACATGCATAAAATTTCCATTTATGTTATATCTGGCATGCAAGTGTTTTTTTGACGACCAACATACGTACATACCGTACAAAACAAATGTCATCTGCAACTGACTGGTTGGAATACGCTAAATCAGAAAAACAAATAAAATTTTTTGATTTTGATAAATTTTCCGATAAAGAAGTAATCGGAAATGGAGCATTCGGTGAAGTTTATAAAGCCGAATTGGAAGATGAAGATTTAACTGTCGCTTTAAAATGCCTTTATGTTAAAAATAAAACATATAATGAAGAAATAAACAACCAGTTTATTAAAGAGGTATAATTTTATTTAACGTTAAGATTTGAAATATCTAAATTCAAGACTAACGCTAATGCAATCGTGCTTCATTATAAGTTGAAAGTCCTTATTGAAATTAATCATCATAAAAATATTATTCGCTTTTACGGAATCACTCGAGGTAAAATATATCGATTTGGTTCTATTAAAGTCTAATATAATTAATAAAAAATATTCTTCAGATCCGATTTCTACGAAGTACATGCTTGTTCTGAAATATGCTAATGGCGGAACTCTTAGAGAATATTTAGACGTCAATTTCGACAAAATGAGTGGCAATGACAAATTGAGTTTAGCTAAACAACTCGCTAAAGGAGTAAAGTGTATACATGGTGCAGGCATTATTCATCGAGATTTGGTAAGAAACTTTTATATATTTTCAATACACTGTAGTTCTAATTTGGATTTTATAACTACTAATCTAATTTGGAACTGTTTCTTATAGAACCACAATAATATACTCGTTCATAATAAAAAAATCAAAATTTCCGACTTAGGCTATTCAAAGCTTTCAAATGATCAATCTCACTCGAAAACCGATTTGGGCGTGATGAGTTATATTGATACCGCATTTCTAAGAGATATAGCTAATTTCAGACGAAACGAGCAATCCGACATTTTTAGCATTGGAGTGCTATTTTGGGTTCTTTCCAGTGGTCGTCCCCCGATTAATCAATATGGATATGTTTTATGTTCTTCACCAGAAAAAGAAAAAAGAATTTGGGGAACTCCAGATAAGTATGTTAACCTTTATCAAGCATGCTGGAATGACGTACCAACGAATCGTCCGGATATTCATGAAGTAAACAAACAACTTAAAGAAATAGAATGGCCAACCATTTCGCCTGCTTTAGTTCCAGAAGTAACGGAATTTGATTCGGATATTGATACTAATTTTAGTTCTAAAGAGGAAGACGAAATTACAATAGAATCGGAAATTTTAAATGATGAGGAAATTATTGATGGATTAGTAACTCTATTAGATAATTTACTCAGCAAAGAAGAAAATTTCGATAAAATAGGTGCCAAATTACAATCATATTGCGACTTACACAGTCAGAATTCTTTAAGTATTGAGAAATACTCGGAAACCAATGCTCAATATAAGCTACTTTTAGGGTTTCTTTTTCAAACCGGATTCATAGTTGAAAAAGCTGTTGCATTAGCATTAAACATATATGAAGAGTTATCAAGTGATAACAATCCTTCAGCTCAAGTCTTGCTAGGATATACATATCAAGTTGGAATTGGAATACAAAAAGATGAGAAAAAAGCGTTCGAGTGGTATTTGAAATCAACAGAGAGTGGAAACGCGATAGGACAACGTAATCTTGGTTTTTGTTATGAAAATGGAATCGGAACACAAAAAGATGAGAAAAAAGCGTTCGAGTGGTATTTGAAATCAGCAGAGGGTGGAAACGCGATAGGACAACGCAATATTGGTTATTGTTATGAAAATGGAATCGGAACACAAAAAGATGAGAAAAAAGCGTTCGAGTGGTATTTGAAATCAGCAGAGAGTGGAAACTCGACAGGACAATATTATCTTGGTCTTTGTTATCGAAATGGCATTGGAACACAAAAAAATGATAAAAAAACATTCGAGTGGTATTTGAAATCAGCAGAGGGTGGAAACGCGATAGGACAATATTATGTTGGTCTTTGTTATCGATATGGGATCGGGATACAAAAAGATGAGAGAAAAGCATTCGAGTGGTATTTAAAATCAGCAGAGGGTGGAGACCCGATAGTGGAACGTAGTCTTGGTTTTTGTTATCAGTATGGAATCGGAACACAAAAAGATGAGAAAAAAGCATTCGAGTGGCATTTGAAATCAGCAGAGGGTGGAAACTCGATAGGACAATGTAGTCTTGGTTCTTGTTATGAAAATGGAATCGGAACGCAAAAAGATGAGAAAAAAGCATTCGAATGGTATTTGAAATCAGCAGAGGGTGGAAGTACAAACGGACAATGCAAACTTGGTATATATTATGAAAATGGAATCGGAACGCAAAAAGACGAGAAAAAAGCATTCGAATGGTATTTGAAATCAGCAGAGGGTGGAAGTACAAACGGACAATGCAAACTTGGTATATGTTATGAAAATGGAATCGGAACGCAAAAAGATGAGAAAAAAGCTAGA